AAGATTCGCAAACTCCTCTTTAACATTCACTGTACCTGCATCCACGTCTGTCCCGTTCCGGTCCCTCAGGTATTTGTGTTCCAGCACAGCTTCCCTAGCTTTTGCAAAATTGTGATTATTCAGGATGAGGCACACTCCACAGGGTCGGCTAGTCATTTTGTAAGCCTCAAGCTGTTGAAAAGAAAGACTGCTGGTGAAACTACTGTGCTTTCCTCCAGGGCGCAGCAGGCTACAGAGCCAGGTGCTTTCCTCTCCAGGCAGCCCTCTCTATACAGCTTTGCTCCCAGGACCTGGCAGTGCAGTGTCCCACTGCCTTTGGGAGTCTGAGCATTGTCATGCTCAGCCCAGAGCGGGTGCTGCCTTCACCCACAGCTCCGTGCCAAGCCACCTGCCAACTGTGTATTCCCTGGTATAATAAACTCAGCCTGCCTTGCTCCCCTTGCAGATGATTGTGAAGCTGTAACACTGCAGCAGCTGTGCCTGTGACAGAGCCACAGAATAATGGATGTAGAGTGGTGCATTCTTCTTTCCAGACCATACTTTTAACAGTTGGTCTATAATAACTGTTCACTTCATGGAGGGGTGATTTCTTCAATGACAAAATGATGATGTTTCTAAGAAAATGACATACCTGGGAAGAGATATTACAACTGCCAGGAAATTCAGGTGCCACAGGTAATGCCAGATATCCTTCAGGGCCTCCCATGCTTCCCCTCTCTTCCTCTGTGATAAGCATCTCTTCTTGACCTGAAAAGCATTTATTATTAGTCCTGTATGATACCTATGGGTTACTTCAAGAATAACTAAGGGGGAGAGGCTGTTTTGTTTTACCAAATAGGTTTAATCCATCTTCAATTCTGTTCCACAGGCTGATGTTAATTTTTTCACAGAGACTCTTCAGCACGCTTAGGTTGTCTTTTCCCAGAAGCCCCTTCTTCTCCATCTCAATGAAAATGTCAAGCATTGTCTGGGTAATCAGAAAGGCAGTTTGCTCTTAGGGCACATCCATGCTGCCACGGGGAGTAAAGTTAGAGCATGTGCACCAAAGCTTTAATGTACTGACAGTACATGCAAGCCACAGAGTCAGTTCAGCTGACTGGTAGCTCAGTTGAGACCTCAGCTGAGCCAATTAAACCTAGTTCAGCAAAACCTACCAGTACTGTTAAGTAAAAACATAACCTCAAAACATATTCATTTCCCTTCTCCAGCTCAGAGTTGCCAAGATCTGACACGATCTAACCCAGATCTAATGGTGGTCATACAGGAATATATAATACCATTTTGAATGCTTTCATTCATTTGACTTCCAGTGGCTATCTTCTGCAGTTAGGTGAAACACAAGAATCACTGTACTGACCATCTTAAGCAATGGCAAAAGGAGTATAACCACACAAATATGGTGTAGAGATTGCTGTGAAGCAAAAGGGGACTGAAGGGACAGAAGCTCTTGTCAAACAGTGAGTGGCAGAACACAGTGGTCACCCCAAGGATTTACTAGAACAGCTATCACTAGATGATCATAGTCTATCCTCAAAGTGCTCATTAGACAGAACAAAGTACCCAGCAGGCTGGGACACCATAAGAGCACTGGATCTCCTCCAAGGCTATTTGTAAACTCCAAGCTCCCTGGCCTAAGCCTTCTTAAGGATCTGCTGCTTAGATCTGTATTTTCTGCACTTGGAAATGAAAAAAACCAAAATCATAAAATAATATCCACAGCAGGTGGTTTTCTGTATTTGATAATGGCTTAGAAAGCAGCAAAGAAAAACCAGTTGGGCAAGAGGAGTGACTATGCTCATCAGTCTTTCATTGATTAAAGCCACTGAGTGCCCTGAGCCTCGTGTGGTGCTTGGATGTGACACCCTCAGTGCCTGGCACACTGGCTGTGACATGGCTGCAAAGGCTGTACCCAACACCAGCACAGACAAGTCCCATGTGCCCCAGGGCCACCCTTTTTCTTGTGGTGTTTTCACCTTAAGAGTGACGCCATAAAGAAGAGATCCATTCCCCCACGGGCAAACCTATTTCCTCTATGGATTATAATAATCATTTTAAAAAGTATTAAATAAATTCTTACAGTCTCAGGGGTTAGCTTGCTTTTTGGTAATTCTCCATCCAAAAGTAACTTGAAAGACATCAGCTCATCTTTGGTGATGTCTTCTGAGAGCTGAAAGAGCAAGTATCTAGAAAGAGAAGTGGAGGGAACTGTTTCATTGCGTTCGCAAGCATGTCCCTGAGCACAATTTAACACTACTGCACTGCCCCTTTCGCCCAGTCCGCCCCCCGCACAACCCGGTGTCCTCCCTTCTGCCGGGCTGAAATGCCACCTTCCCGTACAGCCTGTTTCTGCTTTCTCCTGGGAGCCGCTCGGGTGCAGCCGGAGCTCAGCGCGGCGTTCAGGGCAGGAGAAGGCTCTGCCCGGCCCGCCCGGGCGGGCGGCGCTCCCGGCCCGGCCCGCACTCACCTGTAGGGCGGCACCCGCGCCCCGCCCGGGCGGGCAACCTGCAGCTCCCGCTCCACCTGCTCCCGGCTGGAGCCCAGGTGCGCAGCCAGGAGGTCGATCCTCCCGATGCGGTAGAGCAGCTCCCTGAGGAAGGCCAAGTTCCCCGCCTCCAGCGCGCCCCTCTCCTGCAGCGCTTCGAACAAGTCGTGCGCGCTCCGGGCGGCTTCCAGCCTCCTCCTGGGGACGTGCTCCCGGCTCAGGAACTTCAGCGCCGCCAGCTCGGCCTCGTCCAGCTCCTCGCTGACCGCCAGCAGCTCCCACCGGGGCAGCTCCATGGCCCGCCCTCCGCCGCGGCCGGACTGGGCGCTTCCTGCCTCCGCCGGGACGGGCCGGGCCCAGTCCCGGGGCGGGGCGGGGCGGAGGCGGGGCCGAACCCCGGGGCGGGGCTTCCCTCTGGATTTGAACATCCGGAGCGAGACAACATTATTTCCACCTCGGAAGCTAACAGTCCTCCCTAACTCTTCTAACTGTTTTCCTTTTCCAATAGGATCCCTCTGATCTTGCCTGCTTTCAGCTTAAGCCTGCAGGATTTCAAATCACCAACTTCTCTTTCCTACCAGCCTTCTGGCTCCACTTTCTATGGTAGTGCTTCGGCTGCCTAAAAACAAAACACAAAATTAAGTGCCAGGATTATTTGGTGACAACATTTGGCCTCCCAGACATGAGTTGGGAGGAAAGAAAAGGAAGGACAGGCAAAGTAAAAAACAAAGCTGAGGGCCTTTAGAGGGGAAAGGAAATTGTCTCTCACCATTCTGTAAACTGTGCTACAGAGGAAAACCAGAGTTAGGAAATTGCAGAACCAACTTTCTTCTTACCACTCAGTGCAAGAGCCATCCTGCTGCAGGTGTGTGTGAGCATACTTTGCTCAGAACCATAAAACTCAAAATGTGTTTTCTCCTTCCCCAGTAGCTGCATGAGCCACATATAAGTTCACAGTATGGCTGTTTTCTGCAGTCCTTTAGGGCACTTTGACAAGTTTTCTCTTTCTTTTTCATCAGCAAGAGATAATAGTAACTATAAAAGTGGCCTGATTTTAACAGATATAATAAAACACCAAGCCAATTTAATGACAGGGTGTGACTGACCAGCACCCCCCCCCCCCACACACACACAGTGGAGACAGCTCAGAGGGCAAAAAGGCAAAGGGCAAAAAACATATGATCTCAGGGAAGACAGATCATAAAGAAAGTTCCATTTACCTCAACATCAGGGAGATGGGAGGGTAACCTTACTTTTAGAGAAGACATCTACACTTGGGAATCACCAGGTACCCTGAGACAATTAATGAGGAATAATGTCTTCCTGAGCTAGCAAAATGAGCACGGGGGGTGTGAATATGTGGTTCTACCCAACCCAACATAAAAGTATAAGACCTGGAAAACTGATAAAAATACTTAAACTTTGAAAAGAGCAATGGGCTTGAGCTGGCTTCAACCCACAGGTTCCACCACGACTGGGGATGTCGAATGTCATGATGGTGAGCATACCTATGTATCTCTCTCACCCTACTAAATGAAAATCCTGTGTAGCACCAAATACACCAAAAAAGTAAATTTAATATCCAACTCCTCCTCATATAAAAGAGCTGAAAGAACTTGGTCTGAGTGTATTGAACTCTGATAGACAGAAATATGAGAAATAAAATCACAACTTCACTTCTGGAACAGCTACCACCGTTCAGCAAGTTTCTCCCAGAGGGAAGTTATTTAATTTAATCTATTTCCTTTTCATAAAGCAACATCCACTAATCTAATCTAACTTCATATCAGGGTCTCACTGATGAAAACATTATAAAAAATGTAAATAAATTGTTGCCACATTTCCTAAATGGTTAACCAAGTATCAGCCACAGAACCGCACCATAACTGGTAACAGCTTCTCGTAACTTTTGCTGCAGTATCATTTACATAGTGCTTGTAATGTCTATTTATTATTTATGAAACCAATGTGAACAGAGCTGTAATTCTAAGAACAGGCAATCTCTCTTTTACTTGGAAGGTGAAAAAGCAAAAGGGGAGCAGAAAGCAACTACTAACACATTGCGTGGAATCAGGAAAAAATATTCGCTTCCAGAAGGATTGAATAAAGGGCCCTCCTTTATGGCTAGACGTGGATTTCCAAAAAATCCAAACTGAAAAAAGCAGAAGTTACCACGTGTCTCAAATTCATCCTTTATCTTTTTATAAACTCAAAAGGGATGTAGCTGTTAGTATCCCATAGAGCTCCTACATAATACCTACACATTACTGAAGATGCAAGATAAGAATGGCCTCACTGGCATTAGCTGCCATTATCATGACAGTCCTGAACTTATTCTTTCCTACCATCTCTCCAGCTGCTGTTGAAGAGATATCAATCTGCTACCCCTTGGGATGGCTCCCATGAGACACTCCAACAAGAGCAAAATTACTTCTGCTGAGGTAAAAGTGTTTGTCATGTTGACTGTCCCTTAGACAGTCCATCCAACAAAGGAACACACCACAGACCAAGGTGATGTAAAAAACAAGACAATTTATTACAACAGAAACAAGAGTAAAAAGAACTTCCTTCCAGTGTTCAGCCATTCATGACACACTGGCCCCTGGAAGTGCTGAGAAAAAATCCAATTAGAACCTTTACTGTTAAAAAGCTTACACCAAAATGCTGCTTAGCCAAGTAAATTAATAACATAAAACAAACTAAATATCTGGAGGAAAAGAACCATTGTATTATCATAATCATGGTTTTTTTGGTCCTTCTGGATCAGGATGTTATTTTCCATGAAAAATTATAGCTTCCAAAGATAGAACTCTGGGTAAGGCAGTTACAACCCTACACATGCTTCCTCACCAGAAACCCAGACCGAATATACTCCACTGCCGCTGCAGGACAAAAAGCCAGATCCGTACTCTTCCACAGCCTTACCCAACTGCCACAGATCCAGGTGGCAGAAGACTGATTAAATATAGAAATTTTAAAATTTAGGTCCTATGGGTCCTTCAAGGACTGGGGCTAATTGCACAGATCTAGATAATTTCTCATATAAAAACTCTTCCCTGTGGAAGCCTAAACTGATTGCATTCTTATTTTTCTACTTTTTACTTGACTGTCCTTGTGGAATTTCGAAGATCAGTTGCTTCCGTAGTGTTGTTATTATCTGTGGCATCTGCTTCTCTAATTTTCCTCCTGGCATCTGATTCCATACTTTAAATTCTTTTCCTCCCACTTCCTTGTTCACTGTTGTCAGGATGGTTAGGAGATCGATGCGGCTTGAACAAAAATGAAGAAAAGTCCCATTGAAATACGTGGTACTTGCAGGTCAGCCAATAAGGTGATCTATGTTTGCTCCAATAAAGTGGTATCTCTGGGGTGACTGGAATCCTGCCCCACCCTACCTGTCACTGAAATTGCACACTCCATTGTATAACAGCAGGATTCAGTATGTTTGAGGGAATAAAAGCAACCTCCGTGTAGCATTGCTTTACCAGCAAACACAGTCTCCTGCTTTAGTTATAGTCAGAAGAGAACACCAAGATGAAACAGGGCCAAACCTATACATTCTGCATGTCTTCTTCTGGACATCATGAGAGAGCGATGTCTGAAGGGAAATTCTATGTTCTAAATCAAATTTATGAGAGGATGGGAGGAAGGCAACAATGAAAATTATGACTAAAGAACACTGACTATTTTGTCTGTGCAATCACTCAACAAATTCACTTTTATCAAGTGTCACTGGAAAAAAAATCATTTATCAGTCAAAAAATGTTAAAAAACACACATACACATACACACACTTGTTTTTGTGTAATGCTTCAGCATTACAACCCTGGTTTTGTCACAAGGAAGCCATTTATACTTTGGCTCATCTGTAGAAGAATAAAAATGCCCAATTCCAAAATAATTACTATTCTCCACTGTCCTGCAGGTGAAAAACGTTATATAGCAAAAATGCAAAACACTGATGTTTCAGCACAGCATGCTTCAGTATGTATGTCTGCAATACCCCAAATGTACAAGAATTAAAAACAGTACTTACAGTGGGCAAAGCAACTCCATCTTGTCACAGAGGCATTGAATGTAAACACTGCCAGTCTCACTATTCCGGAAGGACAAATAGTCTTCCACTGTAGACATGCCAACCAGAATATCAGCCAGATCAGGAATGGAAGTCAGAGGAGTAGCATCCGTCCCAAGATGTCCAGAAAAGTCTGATTCTACTGGAACAGCTGGATGACCAACAGAGCCTTGGCAAGCCTGGATGAAAAACACCTTGGGTTTGCCAGCAAGAGAGGGACAATTAGATCCACTGAAGCAGGAGACTAAATCTCTAATATTTACTAGCTCATCATCAATGCCTTTTATTTTGTGTTTTTCACCATGGGAAAAAATGAAGCAAACAAAACAGTCCATGTTTCTATGATCTCTTTTGCTGTATTCTTTAACTTTCTCATATATTTCTTTTGCTTCCAGATCCATGTGCTCAATTGTCTCAAACTGAAGCCACTTAAAGACCCTCTTCACAGCCTCTGGGAAAAAAAGTCAGAAGGAACTTGTTAAACATAAACAGTGACAAGAAAGATGCAGAAACATCAGTGTCTGTGTGGCAGATCAGATATTAGCAGAAGTGTTCAGATACCACCCATAAACTCACCTGGACTGACTCTTAGCCTGCCAAATCCTATTAGAAAAATCCATGCCTAATTTGCCTCATTTTATCTTTTTACACACAGCTGGGTTAAGTATCATGCTATCTAAAATAAAACCAGGTTTCAGATTATTATGATGTATAGGTACGAGTTAGTGAAGTTCACTGTGTTAAAGCAAGCTTTAACTGTGTGTTGCATAACAACCTCAGATGCCTAAGAACAACACTTGGTGAGTTGAAGAAGTACCACCTCTTTAGAATGACAAAATCGGCCACCCTCAAACTAAATAGGTCTCTCATTCTGCGAAAATTATCAACGCAGCAAGAAGGAAGGCAGAGTAACCTGCTCACAAATGCTCTGAAGACTTCTCAGCAAATGGTGACTTAATTGTTGTGTGAGCTGTGAGAAAGAAACTGGGAAGGAAGAAGCCTGTACATGGGCTGGATGGAGTTAAAATATCCTTGATGTGTCCTTTCATGAAACAGATTTTACTTTTTTAAGATAAACTCTTATCTTAAAAGTGACTTGCAGGAAGACAGGCTTTAAGGAAAATTACAGAGCATTTCTTTGATCTTTGAAAATAATTTAAGGACTTAAAAATATTTTTCTATGATAGCTAAGAATTAAAAACAATCAAAAAGTGAAAAGGTGGAACAGTAATCCCTCCTTCTCTACTTGGTAGATATAACCAAATGCTTTTTACCTACAACAAAAAGCAGATCCTTCTTTAAGCCATCGGCTAAACTGTTGGAAGTGGCATATTTCCAATTTCTACAGTGACTGCCCCTGCAGTTACTCTGAAGGCCAAGGAGTACAGTGGACATGATTCTTCCTCACAGGAAAGATTAGATAATTGTCTTGGAGAATTATTAGAGAAAAAAGCAAATCAGTAATTGGATTAAAAAGTACTTACCTCCATCTTTCACTGTTCCTTTTCTGTTGCAATGCGGATTGTTAAAAATGTGGTTGTTAAGAATCACACAGTAACCACGGGGGTTATTTTTCATCTTATATGTTTCCACAGGCTGTGGAAACAAAAAAATCAGGTAAGAAAGCAATGCCAAGCATTCAAAAGGGAAATACACTATACACAGATTATTGGTCCTTCATTACCCAAGGACAAAAATTGCAAGGGCTGAGAAACAAGAAAGGAAAAGCCTAAGAATATAATCTAGCTACAGAGGAGAGGAATTTGCATTGTCTCCCTGAATCCCTCCTCCACTCTCTCTGTGGTGAGGATACGATTTTGATATGGGAGCAAGTGAGTATTCAGAAATACAAGTTTGCATGTGCAGAGGAAAAATTCCTGCACCCTACCCTCTAGTGGTCCTTGTGGGATTCTAGTGAGGTAGCAAGTTCTGCTGTTCTCTTCCCATCTGTCCAGGAATGTCCCATCCAGGACTTTAATGTCACTGTCTCCATTATCATTAAGACAGGTTTTCTTCACACAACAGCTTCATTTATTACTTAAAATGTTGCTGACAGTCCTGTCCCCAGAAAGGAAGAGGTCTTGGTCTTGTTTGGAAAATAGGAATTGTTCCAAGGCCTACATATAAAGCCAGAACCCCTCCCTCTCAGCTGTTCTACCTGCTTAGTCTTAAGAATTTATGCTCCCTCTCCCAGAAGTTTGGATAAATAATTTAAAGGTTATCTTCAAGTATTTCTCACCAGGTGTGTTGTCTTCCCCTCTGCTCCTTGTTCCCCTGGATGCAGAGAAACAGACACAGGATAGTGGAGTTCTTCTTTAGAATAATTTTCTTAGAAGGAAAAGATAAACAGAATGTTTTAGGATTTACTGTTTGGGTGATGCAAAATGCCAGCATAATGGAAGATCTCCTCAAAGCAACAAAACACTTATTTGAATACAACTTTCTGAAAAAAATTTTAAGAAATCATCAAATCCATGACTCTACCCAAGAAGCTAAATCACAGTGCCCCTTTAACAAGTTACACAGATATGTTTAAATGAAATTTAATTGTCAAGGCAACAAGATCCACACGACATACTCTTTTTCTACTTATCAAGGGGGACAAAATAGTAACAACACTACTAAAAAGCCATTCCCTGACACAGGACTTAATTACTCTAACCGCCCTTGGCAATTTTCTTCTGCTCTTTTAGAGACAACAGTAGAGGTCAGCAGCACAAAGACATGCAGGGGAAACTACTCTGCAGCTCTGCAGGGAACTGTACGGGCTGTATAAATGTGTCTAAGAAGACTCATGTCCTGAATCATTCAAAAGGAAGTTATGAGGAAAATAGGTCTCAGTTGCTACTGAGTGAGACATCCTGTTTTCCAAAGAGTAAGGCCCGGCTGTGGTTTCAGAAGGCACCACCTCAGCTGCAACAGTCCAGATATACTGAAGTCCTTGAAATTTCCCATGTGGTTACAGAAAGCTACACTTTAGCCAAGTACTGGATCTTCAGGGACTTTGACTAAGAACAAACATCCTGGCTAACAGAGGGTAATGCTGACAATCTCCCAGTACAAGTTTCCCTAAGTCAACTGTCACTGCCAGTCTCTTTCAGTGACTGAAAAGCTATGCTGGTCCAAAACCAGCACTGCACTTTTTCCTGAACAGATAAATTGCATTTAAGGCAAAGAAGAGGGAGAAGAAGACCATTTACAAGGCACAGAACATGTTTCAAGGACAGATACAAGAAGGTATGATGGGATAATGAAGTAGCAGAAAACTTCAGAAACCAGAGGTTTCTAGAGGTGCTCTGCCTGTCCCAGGATACTGTAAGGTCTCCCTCTCATCTTTAGACTTCTAAGCTGTCAATGATGGAGCCAAAAAACCCATAAAAGACCCCAGCTCTATTATTAAACAGTAGATTAAATAAATTTACCTTTCTTTTTTTCTTCATAGATATCAATTTTTTTCTTTATGTCAGCTCTAAATTGCTTTAATATATCTTTCAGCGTTGTCAGGTCATCTTCTTTAATTATCCTATTTCTTTCCATTTCCAGAAAAACCTGCAACATTGACTGGTAGAACAAGAACACATAACCCAAACTCAGTAACTGCAGGCACCTCTGGACAGAGCACAAGACAACATCCTCACTCACAGAGACTGACCAGTTAAAGAACAACTACTTTTTCCTCCAAACCTCATTAAAAGAAGGATCATGATGCAACTGAATAAATGCATCACTGAGGTGAGGACAGGGTGAATTGAAATTGCCAATGGCTGGGTTATCCTGCTTTGTTTCAGCAGCACAAAGCACCAGCTGTGGGTAACAACATGGCATCCTGTTGTGCCTTTGTGTTCTGATGAAGGGCTGTTAAGTCCTTTAACTATGCCATTTTACATTTTCTGTTACAGAAAAGGTGTTCAGGGCTAATTTTGTTTATTAAAGCTCAACAGTCCACAAAGTTGGAAGTAAATCTGCTAATATTCCTCTAGGTGCCACAATACACAAATAGGTTTTGTAAGAAAGCTCCTTAATAATACCAAGCATTTTTATAACACTGTTCATTATTTACAAGTGTTAAACTAGCTCATTAAAACTCTTAATACCTTTGAGGAGAAGTTAACAAAATGCCATTACTCCAAATTACAATAAAGAAGAAAATTTACTCAATGACAAAAATTTGTGGTCGAACTCACACTAGAGCTCAATTTTCTGTCTCCAAAACATTGTTTTTCCTTTAGCAAACATCACTCTTCTTAGATACTGTAAATGCCTTATAAATGTCTTATAAATATCAAGCAAAGATTAAAGGAAGAGCTTGATGGATTTTGCAAGAAGAAAAGATTAGGGAGACAGGTGGTAGAGAGAAAATAAGACCAGGACAGCAAAAAAGGGCAGAGAAAAGATACCATGAAGAAAATCAGGGTCCATTCTTTCACAGCACATCACAATTCTTTCAACAACAGATTTTCATGAGAGCAGACTGCTTGCTCTTTCCTCCCTTCCTACAAGAACTAGCACGCTCTGAACTAGCCTTGCAAAACTTCTCAAGATCACTTTTCATACAGCATTATCCTGGAGCTTGTTCTTAGGTAATTTTTTTTGGAGCAGGAACTTCACATTTTTGACATCTTCTGGAGTCAAGTCCTCTGCAATTCCATATAGCAGCTGCCTGACAATAAAGAATAGAGAGACTGTTCAAGAAAGTTATAAGAAGTAAACACCACAATTACACGTTTGAATCGCAAAATGTAAAACTTGCTATGGGAGGAATTCATGCTGTAATAAATACAATTATGCTGGGATATTCATAAGACAACAGTGCAGACAGAAAACAAGACACTACACAACTGAACTGTTGTACATTTTGTGTGCAACATTTTGTGTTACTGTTTCTCTGCTTACCTGTAAGCTGACACCTTTGCCCTGCCTTGGACCTGCAGCTCTCTCTCCATCTGCTCCCGGCTGGAATCCAGGTGGGTAGACAGGAGGTCCATCCGACCGATCCAGTAGAGAAGCTCCCTGAGAAAGGCCAGGTTCCCTGACTCAATCATGTCTTTCTCCTGCAGCACTTCGAAGAAGGCCTTGGGCTCCTGGATGGCTTCCAGCTTCCTCATGGGAATGTGATCCAGGCTGAGGAACTTCAGTGCCACCAGTTCATCTGTGACCAAAGCCTCGGAAACTTCAAAAAGGAGTTTGTGGAAGTCTGTACTCATTTCACATCAGGATTTGGATCTAAATACAAACAGCAGTTGATTTCATTTGTCAGTGACAGTAGTGCAATAACATTGATTTATATAAAAGGTATCACACCATGTAGAATAGCCCAAAATAATGCAATCAGAAGTACTTCAGTAGAGAGAGGCTGCCTTTGCTATTATAGCTTTGATGCTTTGCTCTTTTGGACTTAACAAGGAGTATTAAAACCTCTGTAAAAGTGACAGTAACAGAGAAAGTCATGGATTGTTCTTGCTTCCTATGGTGTGTCTAGGCAGTAGGAAGTACCAATGTACAGGATGTACAATCCTGGCAGGCTGCTGCTGGTTTTGTTTGGGCTTTGGGGGTTTTTGATATTTGATCACATTTGGGAGCAACAGCCACTTGCCAATCTGAAATATAGACTATGTAATAAATGAGACTGCCAAGTTTTACACCATAACAAAGGTTTTACATGGTAACAAAGCTAAAGAGTCCACAGGAGTATAACTGCTCTAAGCTATCTGGCTTCTCCTTTCTTTTTACACTGCTTCTGATGATGGTCAGCATACCCAAAACATCTCTTCCTGTTTTGGTTTATCCACATCAAAATAAAACTCAGTTCCCAGCTCTCAATCAATTTGTAGTATTAAATACAGATCATGTCAACCCTTTTAAAAAGGCTATAAGAATTCTTATAAAATTACCTCTGTTTCACTGAGCATGAAATACCACCTCCCTTCCCCTCCACTTCCTCTATCAGCTTTAGAAATATTAAACTTGGCTTATGGATTCAACTTTTAGCACAAGAGAAAGTTAGAAAATACCAACTGCAAGCCTTGCAACTATCTCACCCTGACACTTAAAGGACCTGCCTCTGCTGATGTCACAACCCAGTGGTAGGGGTGTGATGTTTGTTATAAATTCTTGTCAGGCTGAACAAAGATACCAGAGACGTGTCAGGAACTCACTGTTTTATTGTACCATCATTTTAGCTGCGGCAACCACCACTCAAAGGTGCTGGCTCACAAACCACAAAGGTACTGGCTCACAAGGAACAAACACCTCCCCCTTCCCACAACAAACTTCAAAATTGAGTATGGGGTAGAATGTGATAGAATAGAAAACAAAGAATATCACCAGTCCTTAGATCCTGCATTGGTGCTGCCACGTGGATGGTGTGGAGCTGGGGAAAGAGAGCCAGAGAAAAGAGAGGAAAAAAGAGAGGGGGGGGCTCAATCCACACCCTGTTATAGTTAACCAGGTGCATGCCTCTTATCTAAATTGGACTTTTTGAGCATTTTGTGCCTGTGTGCACAGCCAGCCCTTCCCCAGGAAGTGAGCTGGGGTGGGTGACTGGACACGAGTCTCAGGGTGGAGCAGGGAGTTGGCCCAGATCAGCGCTGTGCCACCTCCACAGCCCTTCTTCTCCAATCACACCTCTCCTGAAGCAATACTCAGAAAGGCTGAGAGAAACCTGGTTCTCTGCAGCTGATACTTAAAGGACCTGCCTCCACTTCCCTCTAGTAAGAGAACCATGTACCACTTTATTCTCTCTGCCTTAGATATGAGACACCTGGGAATCTCTGAAGGGAAACTCAATAGAAATGCCTTCAGAAGAGGTCTCTTGTCCCATTGAGAAACACTGTCACTGGGAGACAGAAAAGCTGACAAGGGCAAATGAAAATTTTCTACTCCTACACTACTGGAATACTATGCAATCCATTTAATCCTATTGCTACTGCAAATGTTTCCATACCAGGGCTGGTAACTCGAAGGTAGCCCAGCTGACTAACTGGTAATAATAATTAGAAGACAATTGTATTTCTCTCTCCTCCAAGGACCACTATACAGCAAAACAGCTTTTTGTGGCATGCTCTTGGTCAGCATTCTGTTAGTTAGCAAGAATGAATGTACAACTGAATCTTAAACCTTTGTCTTCCAAAAAAATGATAAAACAGCAAAATGTGTTGTAACAGCACATATGATTCACTCTCTGCCCCCAAATACCGTTTTCTTTAAATCCAGTCAAACTGAACTCTTAAACAGACTAGAATCCACACCATTCAGCCCATATCACCACAAAAACCACTAGTGTCTGAATCGTGCTACTCACAATTTGATGATTGCAGATCTGACTTTATATTTCTGTATTCACACAGGAAAGAGAAGTGTACTTTCTTGGTAGCTAGTTAGGCAATTATCTTCTTTCTCACATAAATCATGCTTTTTGTTTAAGATACAAGGTATATGCTTACAAAAGAAAATCTTTCTTGTAAAGGGAATTTCCATTTTTATTTCTCAAAGGCTGTAAGTTTCAAACCCATCCAATTATTGCAGTTAGAACACATGTGCCACCTATATACTATGTTTAAGCTTGTCTGTAATTACAGGGAGGACAACTAAAACAATGTTTAACTGCCACTTTCTTTTTCTCCCACTTTACTAAATTGAAGACACAACTGATACAACATGCAAACTGAATAATAATAGTAATTTTACATCACTTACATGGGAGGACAGGCTGGAGGAGTGCTGGAACAACTCTGAAAAAAGTGAGACAGGTACAGTCTCTAAAGTTCCAGGAAAAGTACTGTTGTACGATATCTGTATTGTCACATGACTTACAAGAAGTATGTTAAATAAAATGGTCATAAAGCAGCAGATCCCTACTCCACCTATCACAATTCTAGTTTCAGAAAATTGATTATTGCAGAACTTGTGAGAAAAAAATTGTAAGCCACAACAGTAATCAGGTTTTGCTTTTGTTTTAAGGGGGACACACTAAGCAGCATACTTAGTGCTTTCTAGCATACAGCACAGCTCAGTACTTTCGCTCTCTTATAAAAACCCTGATTAAGAGACAGTGAGGGATGGGTGAATCAATTATATCTTTTAATTTTAAAAGTCTCAGACCCACTGTCCTGCTGTGTCACCAGATCTGCCATGAGTTACCTCCTTTCTCTGAAATCCCTCTCCAATTCACCCTAGACTATTTTCAACTGGAAAATCATTTCCTAAATAAAAAAGAGTCAACTTTTAGCACCAAATTCAGTAGCAGTACTCAGTAAATACAGGGGACTCAACAACTAAACATTCTTTTGAAATTATTTATGTAATATACTTCCCCATTTACAGGAGAATTTAAGCAAGAATTAACTTCTGACATTTTCACCCTCTGAAGTGGAAAGGTTCCCAACATGCTAATCACCAGTCTCTTCCATGCAGCAGGAAATAGGTGAACAGTGGTAAGTAGGGCTACCAGGTCCCAGAAAATTGTGAAGTCAGCATTATGAAGATGGACAGTTAGGAGAGCCAGAATTTGTTAAAATTTTGCAATGAAGACAGTCATTCATTGATTTCAACCTATCTACCTCTACAAACTGAAAATGATAACATACCTTTTGATAGAATGAGGTATACAAATTCCTTCCAAAAGGCTTAGGGTAGTAACAGATCAGAAAACCCGTCCGACTTGTTTCACTGGCACGAGTTGTGCCTTTACCCAAAGGGCCACCACAAGTATGATTTCATCTTCAGGTCCAAAATATGTCTATCTCCATGTCATCTCAAGTCTCAGCAACTCTTTCCCTGGATTAGTTCTTCTGTGTCTTACCTGAATCAAGAGTTCAGTTGCCGTGATCTGCACTGTGCGACAAATACTTGATTGTGGCCTCGCCCTTCATACAGCAGTTTAAGGGACCACCCCTTCCGGTAACATTGTGTCTAAGTTTTACTTTTGATTTCTTCCTTTCTTACCCTTCATGGAAATATTCTTGTCCTTTCGTTAAGTTACAGTCTCTCTAATTTCCCTCAGCTTCCTTGCACCCTGGTTTTGTCCCTCTGGCTTTCTCTAGAACTGTCTCAGTGACCCAATCTTTTCCTTGTACAGCCTGCCAAAAATTCACCTCGCTTAGAAAGGGTGGTCTAGAGGAAATGAAACTGCTGAGGCTACTGACTGCTCAGCAACTGTAGTGACTGTGGCCTCCACTGGCACACAGCAGGACACACAGCTTCTGCACAAAAACCAACAGGAAGGACGGGGTACCAGAAACTTGCGGATGTTACAAATCCCACTTTAAGATTCTGGTCTTCCCAAGACTTCCCAACTTCCCCAACAGACTCTTTTTACACTAGTTTCACTTAAATCTGTCTAAACAGGGGCTGCACAAGACACAACCCTTCCTTAATTCTGTAGGCGGAGAGCACGTGCATATGTTTCTGTGTGCCATCAGTGAGCCTCAACAGCAACCAACCACGTTTGTTTGCTTGTGGGGAGTTGCAAAACTCCCCACCTAAAAATAGTGCAAGCTAGAAATTGCATCCAACAGCACTAAGCAGTACTCTTTCAAATCTTCACCCTAATGTAGGGCTAGTAACCATATACAGTGAGTGCTTTGCTGAAATTAATTAAGCTTCACTTCAGCTTAAACCCTGAAGCAGTTAAAACCCCACTGATTCATGCAGCCTAACAAAGTGCAGGGGCTAGTCAGAAATAAGGAAAAGCCTTACCCCAATACATAATTTTTATCTCACCCAGCTCTTAGAACTAAGAATTTAATGCAGTAATAAACAGGAAGGACACAGGCATACATAGTAAATGCTCATAACAAAACAACATGGCATTATTTCAGTTAACTCACAAAATTCCCTGTTAGAAGCTTAATCAATAAGGAACCTTGTTTCTCATATGGCTGCATTTTAGATCTTAAACCAAGAAACAATAATGAAAAAATTTAATGCTTAACAAAGTTAATCAATCTGGTATACCTATAGAGATACACTGCTGAATGGAGTATTTCATAGCATGCCAATCTTCTACCTTAAATTTTCTTCTCAGAAGTGATGGGGAAGTAACAGTTCACAAGGTTTCACAGAGGGAATAATGGCTTTATTCAGTCTTGGAAAAATCTCATTGCACATTAAGTTTATGTTAGGCATTTGACAGTATCAGTGTGCACTGTGGGACAAATTCCTGATTTCAGTTGGTAACTGGTCCTCTATTAAGTTAACTGTCATTTACATCAGAGATGGAAGAAATCTTTTTTCACTTACTACCTACGCTTTTGCCTCTTCATTCCCACTTTTCTCTCATTATTTTCCAGTTACAGTTTTGACTATTAAGAGTTCCATATATAAGAGATAAATAGAATTAACAGAACAAAGTAAGAAGTATGCGCTGAGTTGCCTCATTATGGAATTTTGCATTATATTATACAGAATGATGATTTAGTTTAGTTTTAGGTCTTTATTACAGCTAAAGGCTAAGTAAAAAGAAATTCTTAAAATTGTTCAGGAATGATTCAACTGAAAAACTCAGTGGTTATTCATCCTTTTACCCTTCCTCCCCTAGGAGACACAAATGACATAATTTAACACATATCAAACACTTTACTCTTTTAGAATTTGTTCCAGTGCTTCACCACCCTCTGAGTAAGAATTTCTTCCTAACATTTAATCTAACCTGTCCTCTCTCAGTTTAAAACCATTGCCCCTTGTCCTGTCATTATCTGCCATTATAATGAAAGGGGCTGTTAACACTGTTAAAAGGGGCTGTTAAATATTGTTGCTTAGCTTGCCTGAGAAACTTGCCTGAGAATCTTTAGATAAGACACGTAGTTTTGTAAGTAGATAGGATGTATACATCATTTATGTATGGCTTAAAAGGAGTAACCAATCAGACCCCAGCCTTCAAGGCTGTGAAGCTGGCCATCCAAGACGACAAGAACACAACACCAGCAGGAACCAGCCTGGAGGTTTGGAAACGAGACAATGGACCTTGAGCATGTGCCAACATGTGAGGAAGACTATGAAACAACCAGCGGGGTAGGTAATATGACCACCACAGGGACTGTGTTTGTTGCAAAAGGACAGAAGATGGCAGCAAAACACCATAAATTGTAATAAGCAAAACAAATACGGGATAGGTGTTCATGCAAAATATTTCCGAGAAATGGAAAATATAAGCAATCTGTAATTAACTAAACATAAGTAGTACCTAAGGAAGGAAAATCCTCTGTGCAGCCCCAGTGCTGCTAATAAAGAATCCTTGCTTAGCAATGGTCAAGCCACATTCTCTTTTTTCGGTAAAAGGAAGCTTGAAGAGCAGTGTAGTGGGAGAGGGCTGCACTGCCATTTGTGTGCAGGTCTGTGCATCACTCCTCCCTGCAGGAAGGAGTGGAGGAAGGTGAGCAGCCTCTGCTCAAAGCAGGCTCCCCGGGGCCTTCAGCAGTGTCTATCCCCCCATACCCTCGAGTCAGTGGAGACAGGATGGGAAGTGTCTCCTTGCTCATGCTGTTTAACACACCTACAACAGCCGAGCTACCTGTTGAAACTTTAAGGCTCGGTGTCCTTTGTTCAGTCAGCTCATTTTAATAGAGCTGGAGAACTCCACAGCCGAATTTAACAAGCTGTAGAGGTCTACAAGACAAATCAACCAAGAATTTTGGAATTACTCTGTGTTCTAAAGAGAGATAGAGACAGTCAGTCTGACTGCATCCAAAAATTTTATTCAGAAAATCAGCTTGAAATCCACCATTTGGATTGACGTGCAGTGTCTTCTTGATTCTAATACAGAAGCTGAAAAATAGACATTCTTCAAAACAGCCACAGAAAAGCTGTTAAATAATTCAGTACAGGAGATTTATTTTAAATGGACCATAGTTAGAACATCCATATAGATAGCAGCCTCCTCTCAGCAATATCATCTGGCATGTCAGAAACTTAAAACTCCAGACAGCAGAAAAGAATTCACAAAAGCTCTCAAAAGGCTTCTCTGTAAGGTATCTGTATCTCAAAAGGTATCTGTAACAGAAGTCACCCCTTATGCAGAGTTGAAAGGGAACATCAGACATACAACATGCTCCATCTACAACTGCTTTCGTGTCCTAGCACCATAACTTCCTCTTGAACTTAACTTCTTTTTTGGATAATGAGCTGGCAAACATCGTAATACACAAGTATGTAACAGTGCAAAGTAAACTCCATTTATGGCTCAGCCATGTCAACACAAGTGGCTGAGAAAAATCATAGACATTAAGTCTGGTACAACACACCACAGAAACTCCTGCCTCATGAGTACACATTCTGAGCCATCAAAAGGCATCATTTATATTCTGTCAATTCTCCTTCCCCTCTTCCACATATATAGCACACACAGAACTACAAGAAATTTCTATCCCAGTTACCAGAAACCAAAACTGAAATTAAGTACCATGGAGCAGTGAATCTGACAGCCATATTCCAAGCAATGACAATGCAGGAGCAGAGTGACTTGTTTTACCTTGTCAAACAGCAGTTTCTGAAAACTAGACATTTTGGCAATCCAAGACCATGAAACTTCACCAGCATGTCACTTTTTATGTTCCTGTACTAGCACCCTGAACTCATGATGGCTCCAGAATTCATTCTCTTCCCCTTTTGGCTACTGAATCATTTAACCTGAAATCATTTAATTACTCTGTCTGCAATACAGGTACAACTTGATGCAGCCTACGCCCTGCATCCATTTCTAGACTCAAATTTTGGTGCACAGTATGGCAAAAACAGACAGGTGTGGAGGGTTATGAGGAGCAGCTGAGGTCACCTGGTCTGCTCAGCCTGGAAAAGTGGAGACTGAGGGAAGACCTCATTGCAGTTACAACTTTCTTGTGAGGGGAAAAAGAGGGACAGGCACTGATCTCTTCTCTGTGGTGACCAGTGACAGGACTCAAGGAAACAGCATGAAGCTGAATCATAGGAGGTTTAGGTTAGGCATTGGGAAAAGGTTTTTCACCCAGAAAGTGGTTGAGCACTGGAACAGGCTTCTCCCCAGGGAAGTGGTCACAGCCCCAGGCCCGACAGTTCGGGAATCACATGGCATGATTCTTTGGGCTATCCTGCGCAGGGCCAGGAGTTGGACTCAATGATCCTGATAGGTCCCTTCTATGATTCTATAAGCTATGGGAGAAGTGACACACAACTGGCACCACAAAATTCCTGCATAAATACTGACTTTGGTTCTACTTTTCACTATGCACTAGGTATAGGGAATCAGCCTACCCATATATCACTCCTGAAAGAGGTGTAAAGACGTTAAATATTGCTTAAATGAATGATTACAGATTGAGTACTGCTATGGTTAAAGAACCTACTGAGGGACAAAACATCAGTGTAGAAAATCAGTATCTGATATCCACAAATGCTGTGCAATACATAGCTGTCCCCACAACTCTTCAGGGGGTTGTAATCACTTGCAATCCGAGCAGCCAGACACAAAAAGACTCCCTTCTTTGTCCACTGTAAGGGTTAATTACAGGACCCTCTAGTTTTCATTTCTTCACAAAGGGGGCATGGACTTACTCTGTCATGCAGTAAGGCAAAGAATATGTACACTTCTTGACCCTCAAACCAAACTTACATTGTCACAAAAGTGGAAGAACATTTTCTGAAGAATATATTCTATTGCTAATATTTTAAATAAATAGTTGTATTTAGCATCACTCAAAAAACCCCAAAACAACCAACCCACAAAACATCAACCAATCCACCACATCATCAGAGCCTGTAAGGATAGCCACTATTATTCTTACTTCCTTTTTCCTGTTTTCTTCTCCTACGAATACTGACACTGTATTTCTCCTACAAATCATCTTTTCCCTACCTGTTCTTCTCTTGATGCTCCCTACCATTCCCCTTCTTGTTCCTGCTTACATTTTCCATATTTGTTTTCCTCATCTGCCTCCTCTTGGTTCCATTCTCCCTGCTTTTGGTTAGGTAGCAGAAGTGCTCATCACATGCAAAAGCTAGTGAGGGAAATCGGAAAGTGAAGTTTGTGAAAGAGGTCACTCTTGTTAACATCACTTAGATATATATGACTTGAAATGACATCTTATTTCTACAACCACAGAAAACATTTGTTTCACCATTTGCTTCATTTACTAGCCCTCATAGGAAGTAACTTTAAGATTCCAAATCTGTCATTTTAATCCTTCTCTTTCCCCATTAAAAAACTACACCAGAAACCAAGCAAGGCATGCCAAGGCTTTGATTTTGTTCCCTGGATAGCAGACTCTATTAGGAATATCAAAAGTTTGCAAGTGGCCTACTTTAGGAGGGACAACCCATCCAGGTTTTACTGTTATACAACAAGCAGATTACTGAACTTTTCATGTTAGGCACTTACTCCACCGGAGAAAAGTTTTCATATTTATGGAAAAAACTTGGGAAAAAAATCCATTAATAAAGGCATATTCTTTTTCATAAGCAAAACCAGTGAGGATGGGGTGTTTAATTTAATCCAAAGAGCCCATGGCTTAAGAACCGTGCTACATGCTATGCTTAGGTTCAAATATTTTTAATTGTCCTTTTACAACTATGGTTGTAATGAGTGTGAATCAAGTTTCAGCTTCCACAAAATATCTGCAAAAATCCCCCATTTTTTTAACTGTGTGGTAGATTACTGTAATGTCCTGCCACATGTAGACTCATTTTTGCATCAGTGGAAAACTTAGCCAAAACATGGCAGACTGTCTCATTTAATAACATAGAGCCCTTGTGTGCTGTGGACAGTACTGATGACACAATCTCTAAGGCAGCAAGCAGATGGAATCCAGATTATTAGAAAGACCATCTCTCTCCCCCTCCTGTTTTGGTAGTCTGTGGAGGCATGCAAACCACAACTTGTTAATGAAGAACTAGCATTACTATGTAGGAATTCTTTCCTGACACATTTGCCGTGCAGGGGAAAGTACCCAGAGCATTTCGGTGGTTTGGTCCAGCTTGTATTTGTTTAAGCATTAACTGCTAACAGGTATGCTAAAAAATCACCAATAAAACAATGAAGCCACTTTAGTTTTGTTGGAAAACCCAACAGCTATACAGTTTATAGCTCTTCTCCCTCTGTTTACCTGTTGTATTTAGTTGCAAGATCTGCTGCAGTGCTATACAATAGCTACCATTCTCACCCAAGCTTTCAGAGACTTCTGCACTAAAATATAAAATCTAGTGTCTTAACGCACCAAAATGCTTCCAAATTCTTGGGTTTGGAAGCAACAGGCACTTTAGATATACATGAAATAAAATGCATAAAGTAAAAGTATGTGTGAAACTGTTCGGATCATATTAAATACTTCTTGTTAGAAACTTCAGACATATCCTTTCCAAGAGCAGTTAAGTAGGAAAAAGAAAAAGTTCCTTCGTCAGTGTGTGCTGGAGCAGAAGTGAGTATTGTTGGCATGGGTCAGCGGTCTCATTCCATTTATAAACTCTTCCGTTCAGTTCCGTATGGATATCTGATATAGGGAGTTTCCTGCAGCAACAAAAGTAAAAGCATTCCATTAGAGAATGAAGCAAGACACCATCTAAGAATCCACAAGAGAGAAGACAACTTTAGACTCAGCAAGGAGAAAGTTCCAAATTTCAGTCTTTACTGCAGAGGCTAGACCTCTAAAACACAAGGCTGAAGATGCATTTTGAGACAAACTTATAACCCAAATCACTGTTGTGATGTTAAATCATGCTGATATGATGATCTGTGATTTCAAGACAAGGTTTTGGCATTTGTAAAAAGGTACTAAATGTTAATGCTGCAACTACCTTGAAAAACAGCTGTTAGTTCCCTGGTAGATCATTTGTATAGAGAAAATCTTTGTTGTTGTTATATATCCAAATATATATATGTGACTTTTGCTCAGATTCCTTTTGATCTCTTTAAACAGAGAAAAGCTTTCTGACAGTTTAAATTCAAGAATACTGGCAATCTAGTGGCTGAGTGAAGGATAAATTATATCTACAAAAAGCAGAAAATCCTTCCGTCTCTACAGCCTTTTTCCTGAACTTAGGCACTGATTATCTTATATTTGCAAGCAGAGCTCTCCTTAATGGTACATGGCAATCCTCAATTTAACAGCAGCCTGGAATGTGCCTTTTTATCTTGGAGAAGGAAGATTTTGCATCCTCTCTAAAGTGCTGACATACATTATCCAGGACTCCCTTCTTACTCTGCAAACCCCAGTGCCATAACACACTTCAATTTTACTCTTCACAACCAGAAACTTCATTCCTACCTCAGGCTACTTGTCTTTTAGCTTATGACGCTGCATGAAGTCACTTTACAGGACCAGATGGGATGGAACTTAAGGTTTCTCTTTCTCAATGACAACAGGCTGTCATAGGAAATGGGTTATTTTTTTCCTCTTTTTCTAATTTACCTTATGTAAGGATCACGGAGTAGCTCAGCCAGACAACGCAGATAATATGAGCATGAAGTTGAGGATTTTTCTAGTGTAGATACATCCACCTTACAATGGCTCCAAAAGATGTCTGCTCCTCGGGGGATAATGACTTTAGTAACGATATTTTTATCATTCCCATCTACTTCCAACAGACTAGTACATTCTTGCTCATTTTCTGGCACAATGTAGCTCTGAATAAAAAAAAGCTTTGGTTTTCCTAGGAGTCCAGGACATGAGTCTGGTGTGAAGTAATTTTTTATTTGTTCCAAAGGGAATCCAGAACAGGTAATTTCTGTACAGAAGATGCCCTGATGACTTCCACGGCTGACCAATATGCAAATGAAGCTGTCATAATTTCTGTGCTGCTGCAAACTTGCAACGTCAAGCAATGTTTGCTTCATGGTGGCAATATTTAAATATCTGTGACAATGAACGTCATAGCCCAAGCCTCTGAAGGTCTCTTCCAACACATCTGAAAGAAGCAACAGGTAATTAAATCACAGCACATTGAGGCTCAATCTCAACTGTCCCAAATTACCATATTTACAGTGTTTTGCTATTGGAACTAAGTACTTTATCACAACAATTAAAAAATCAGGAGTACGCAGTGTTGATCACAGTACATTACATACTTATAGTGCTATATGCATGTTGTCTTTAACGTGAGTTATCTACTTCATGATAACAAAAGACAGTATTATTTGGCACGTGATCTGTTCCAAATTCCACAGACCCTTGCATACTTCATTTAGAGTCAGTATCCCAAGTTCCTATGATGCAAGAAGAAACATTAGAAAATGTTTCACATACTTGAAATGGTAAGGAATTACGTGAATAGCATGGGAAGCCTGTTTCCCCTTTTAACTGGTCAAAATTACTCTGAATGGTTATTATAGATATACAGAACTGCATAAAAAACATAGAGGCTCCCTTAATTCAGTCAAAAATGAACCTTCTGCAGTCATTTATGTTTCCTATTATATAAAACAGACTTTAAGTGATGAGTCCCAGGTGAAGAATGTACACCGGAGTCTTAATGGTGACAAAATGGCATTTCAGGGAAAAAAGAAAGTTGAACAAAGAACCCTTTCAAATGAGTTAAAAATTAAAACTGTAGATAGCCAAATCCTGAGATTTAACTATATCGTATTTGTGTTAACCTGTGCTGCAGAAAAATGTGCTAAATTCTAAATAACTACTTTGGATGATTATTAATGGCAGCAGAGCCATGATTTGTAGGTGTATCTGACCTGCCAGGTGCTAAACATGTCACTCATTATTGTTCCTTTCCAGTCAGCAGACTCCCATTGTCACATTTACACTTTCTGTTCTTGTACAAGTACTTGAATGACCATATGAGCTCATGAAGAGCACATACAATGATTTGTTTTACTTTTGTACCAACCTTTGTATCTAGTAGCAATTCCTGTGACAAAGATGTCTGCACAGTATATTGCCTGTGCAAAAGATCCATGCCTTCTAAGGAAGAGTAGATCTAAATTTTTGTATCTGACATAGCAGTTCTTTCTCTCTTTCCTGTTTTCTCCAGCATACATGTCTTATCTGCTTTTATACTTATGTGTTTCATTTAAAGAACTCAGTCCTGGCATAGTAAAACACAGGCCAATAAAACATAGTTCAGTAAATCAGGTCTGAACATGCTGAGATGCCATTGGAGACAATGAAATTTAAAGATTTATTTTTTCTTAAACAAGGCTATTTTCACACCTCATGTTCTCTTTAGCTCTACACACTGAAGAAACATAGCTCCAAGTAGCAATTATTTTGGTACTGGAGCAGACTATCAAGCTACCTTCCAGATTAAGGCTGCATAGTAAGTTTCTTGCACCCAAAGGGTAATTTGCTTTCTCAAAGAAAGAGAAGAACAGGAAAGCAAAAAAGCAGGCAGCAGGACAGAGCAGAATGTTTGATTCCAAGAGCCACCAGCCCCAGTCCTTCAGTCCTTGGAAGATAGTCTATTTTCCTCTTGAGACAAATTCAGGGTGTTTTTTTTTGTTTTGTTTTTTTGAGAGTAGAAGTGAGGAAGTGCTTTAGTACTTTACAATGAACAATATAATTTCTATACGTAGCAACTGCATCCCTGTTCTTCTAGGGTTTTTTGGGGGGGATTTTGTCTGGTTGGTTTTGGTTTTTTTTTCTTCTCCAGAGATCAGTGATGAACTCGGTAGTACAGACCAAAATCTCAAAGATGCTTCCCAGTTGCATGTAACTGAGTTAAGTGCCTTCCTTTTCCCTCTTATCCATGCATGGCAGGATTGTGAATCAGTTTTAGTTCCTGTTATCCTAATGGTAAAATGTCTTGGTTTCTATAATTTATCCAACATATTACTGTCAAGCAAACACAAAAATTTTACTTTCCACATCCACTGCTCTTTAACAACTACATGAATAATTCTAAGTTGGTCCATCTGCTGGACCATTACATATGATAAAAACAAAAGATATGTCCACAAACCCTCTCCTTCCCCTGTCTCCTGCCTACTACAGAACTGACTGCAATTACTCTCTTCACTTTTATTTTTAGCCTCAAGGGCTACAGTGGTTAGAGACTGAGGGATTTTTCTGCTTCTGCAAAAATCTAATTCTTGGATTAGATTGGGCCATCAGAAAACCCCCACATTTTAACCATGGCAGTGACTACAGAGACAGCATGGTGAGAGTTTCAGTTAAACTGTGCAAGGTATGACAGAAGCCTGCATTATTAATAAAGGAACACATAACTACTCAAAATCTATCGTGTCCTATATGACTGCACTTCAAATCCAATGGTTTTGGTTGTCTTAACTGGTGGGAAACACTATCTTTGCCATCTCTGTCAATAACCTGTTGTATGACTGTAGCAGGTTGGTCTCTGAACATCCTTTTTCTCCCTCCCAAAATTCAGTCTATCCTCTTCAAGTTCTTTCATTCAGAGATTCTGCACCAAAAAACCAAACTAACACTGCTTGCAATAGTTGGGGGGACAGTTGGTTTTAACCTCAGGTTGGGCCTTCCAACTCCCTGCTTTAGAAGACTTACTAGAATTGGTAGACTAGCTGACTAGGACAACATTACCCTAGTCTGGCTGGTAAATGTACAACATACTCTTTATATTAAATTGTTCTAATTATTAACAAGTTAAGGAACTTCAAATTCCAGAGACTTACCTGCATCATTGCCAATACAGTCTATGATCAGGCATATTCCTAAAGGTTGACTTTGCATTCTGTAAGGTTCATCAGTCCCCTGAGGAACATGAGAGGACAATTAGAAAGTTAACTTCACTCTCTCACTTACAGACCTTACTGTTTTCTCAGATTTTAGCACCTCAGATCTATTAAATTACATTTAGTTGTTTTCCATAGAGTAGTTAGCAGAAATCTATCTACTGGGATGTAGCATATCTTATTTACACAACAAAAAAATCAGGAGAAATGGACTAATGATTCTTTTCCCCTATTTCTAGTACAGGTTTAATTTTTGTTTCCTTGCATTATGCAATCCTTCTACTATAAAGATCCTCAGAGACTAAGACTATATCAAAAATGATAGAAGCAAGTCTGAAATGAACCTTACCTCTAAACAGATCTTCAAGTCTGTCACGTTTTGGGGTTTTTTGCCGTGTGGGGTGAAGGGGCTTTTTAAAGCCCTGCACTATGAAAGCAATGGTCTTCCTATAGTACTTCCAAATTAAGTATTTATTGAAGTAAAAAATAAATACTTATATAAGTATTATAATACTGTCTCTGCTATTGAGATGTTGGGAGCTACAAGCTTCATACTGCCAAAACAATAGAGAGCTTTTGTGTTCTTCAGGTGTGCAAGCAAGCACTGCTCATCAGAACATTTGTTCCCTTATTTAGTGGAACAACTGCATTGTTCCTAAATAATCTGTAATGACTATCACAATCTCTCTCCCCTCTAAAGAGATTAAAATTCAATTGGTACAGGTAACTCTGTTGTTCCTGTCCTACAGGAGAACTAGTGAAAATAGCAGTAGTCCATTCTTATCATTAATACCTAAAGCATGTCTGTCTCCTGCCTGGAGCAGCAAGGGGTGAGGAGGGAAGCATAAACAAAGTTTGTTGCATGCAAGGAAGCCCTGTGACTTCTAATGAAGATGGCAAGAGAGGTCTGACCTCCAATAGGTTTTAACTTGGCCTCCACTAATAAATGTACAAGTTCTGTGTACACACCACACATACATGGATTTTGCAGACTGCTGCTTCCAGAGTAGCAGCAAATTTTTTAATTTAAAACCTGTTTATGGCTGAGGGTGTACACATTACTCTGTCTGCACACAATTAAAGGAAATCCCAAAATGAAACACCCAGAAAACCAAGGTAAGTTCTCACAGAGGTTATTATATTCACATGCATACATATGGACAAGCACATACCTTATGTGACGCTGATCCCGACTCCTGAATGGACATGGGAACTGGTTCTGCTGCAGTTAAAACATACAGAAGCAATCTCAGTACATAAGTACCAGTGAGCTTTCTTTGACACCAGACCAGTTATAAAGAGGAACATATCTCACTCATCTGGACCTCTTAGATTCTATGTATGCCACTGAAGTTTAAAAAGCCTTAAACTCTTCTCCTCTAAATTGTCATTTTCAATTGCATTTTACATTGCTTGTGACTAGAATAAAAAAGGAATCTCTCCTACACTGAGGGAATTCAGCCAACTACTCTTAAAAATCACCATATTTGAGCAGTATTTCCAGAGAAAACACAATATACATAGAAAGAACCTGGTACTCAGGATAGTCAATCTTATCCATGGTTTTATTAATAAAGTGTTTATTCTGTTAAAAACCTGTGACAGTGGAAACCCACAACAATTTTGAATAAAGTTTTAAAATGTGGCAGCACAAGCAAAGCAACTAAAGACCAAATAATGAGGCCAGGCTCAGTTTTCAGACGTACCAAATACTCTCTGCTCCTGGTGTTATCAGCTGGATTAACCATAAACACAACCATCAAACAACAGTCCTTTTGATACAAAGAAATTAATCATTTGGCTCTTTTAGATTACCAAAACTCAGATAAAAATGCTCTTACCCAGGGTATGATTTAGTCCATTTTGTAATTTTTCTTTGTTCCCATTCTGAATCTAAAATGAAGAAAAAGGGCATAATTTTCCCTTTCTATTTCAAGAATAATCATGTGTTCCAAAATAAAACACAACAGTATTTCTTTCTCAATAAAAGGATTATATGTTTTAGATTCATATATATCACCTAATTAGGACTACCAAATAACTAATGAAAAAAACCACCAAAAGCCCAAACAAACAAAAAACTCCAAAATTATTGTTCCTCAGAAAAAAAATTACCAGCTTGTCATGATCAGCAAAGAAAAGTTTATTCCCTAATCTAGTAAAACAAAAAAAAAAAAACCTCCACAGATGTGAATTTTGTTTCCCGTAGAGCAGCAGGGAACATTTACTGAACACATGACAGAATTAATCTCATCCAATTTAGCAAGACTAAAGACCTTAAGAAAGGTCATACTAATACAATATCAGACCTAACCCAAATATAAAGAATACTGCATCCAATAGGATTTGATGACTTTTCACATACTGACATATTTTCTTAACATGAGATTAAAACGAACCACAAAAAAAAAATCTGAAAAATTCTTCTTAAAAAGTTCTAATCTCCAGATTCAAAAATTAAAAGCTACTTTCCCTGCAAGGTCCAATGGTACAAAGAAGAATAATATGTTTTGTAAAGACCATTCAAAGCAAAACTCCACTAGAGTGTAGTAGAAAAAACCTTTCAAGATAGAGATTTTATATGTTCAACTAATAGGAAAAAATTCACAGGACTTCTTTAAAGAGGACCTTTCTCACTCAGAAGATTTAACTCAGACCCTAAACCCGGTAAATAGTGGGAATAACAGAAATAAACCAAGTAGTATTTTAGTCACTAGCAATCTCTCATTCCTCAGGCTCTGAAAGATGAATCTCCTTTTAACATCTGGCAATATTCAGAAATAAAGGATTTGTCTGATTTCTTGTATACTTACCCCTGAATTGTAAGGAGGATCAATCAGATTGAGATTAGTGAGAGATGCTGGGCGTGCATTTACATACACTGGCTGAGAATGAATGGAGGACATTAAAGCTGCAAATTTAACAGAAACACACAAATACACCATGATATATCAACTGTTTTAAAAACCTAAATCTGTGAAGCAGGTAAATACTCTGATTTGTAACTCATAGTTTTATTTTCAGTAAAAGCACATCTCATTCTTGCTATCAAGAGTAACCACTGCAAAAATAGCATCTTACCTTTGTGTTTGTAGTTCTGAATCTTCCTAATCAAATCTATCCTGTGAATACTTCGAAAACAGTTTTCTATCAAATCCAGTTGATTAGGAGCCACCAAATTTAGTTTCTCCAGGTCAATTACAAGAGCTAGAAAACTCTAGAACAGCAAATGAAAACCAAACATTATCAGTAATTTGTTCTCTATCAGAAGCAACAAAACAACCCAGAAAATACCGTGGGGAGGTCATAAAGGCTGTATAAGCAATGTAGGGATGTTACCTTCTGACACACTAAGAAAATATTCTGAAAGGTATAAGAATTCTTGGTATTATCACAGAAGTAATAGAAACTAGAAAGTGATATTCTTAAAAATTAATTTTAAGTTTTTGAGGAAACAGTTTTGCATTTCATTTTTGCTACAAAGCCAGTCACTGGGAACGTCATCTCACATGCCACTAAGCAAGAGGCAAGAAAGCTTTGTGAAATTTGTAGGGCCTCTCCTTCCTTGATTAAAGAAAATGTTTTGAAGAAGACAGAAATCTTCAGTCTTCTACGCACAGTGGTCAAGTTTTCTGAATCCTCTCTACTGACTTTCTGCTTTCTCAGAGGACTTAAATATTCAGAATAAAAAGGTACAGAGAAAGGCATAATTAAAATAAATCTGTTCCTTTGTAAGTGAAGCAGAGCACAAACATAAAAAGTGACTTTGCAGTTCAAGATGCATTTCAAATCATTATTGGTTTCAGATCCTTCTTATATGAGCTTTCAGGTCAGTATTACTGAAGACTTTTTAAAAATGCCTTCTGCCTGTGAGGTTCATTCTAACACTATGCATCTAGATACAGCAAGCACTGTTCCCTGTTTTTCATGCCTCCTTCCTTGAATTAAAAAACAACAAAATGAAATAGAAGCCACTACTCTGTGTCCACTTTCTGATGTCTTTCTACTCGTGCCTCACTACCCCTTGCAGCACTGTCTCCTCTCCTTTGATCTCTAGCTACTTGCCTTTTTACTTTGATCTCTCACTGCTCCAGGGGAGAATACCAGAAAAACATACCTTATCTTTTGCCATTTTCATCCGAGGTGTATAGTCTCTAAGTAGAAAAAGAAGAGAACCCACTTCCTCTTTTTCCAGATTCTCATTTATTTCTACCATTAGCACCCTGAAAAAAAGTTGAGATATTTCTAAATGATTAGCTTGAAGCAAGATCCCTCTCTTGCCCAACTACTGAGCTTCTCCCATGTTCCAGTCTTAATGTATCATTTCCAATTAATAAACAGGCAAAAAACCTACCATGCTACAAGATCCTACTCTTTCTAATTAGCACCTGCCTTACTCACACTGTAATAGCCACTGTCAGGAAAACAAAAGTCTTCTTAATGTTTCAATAGAGAATGAGACAACAGAACACATCTTTAACTTTTTTACCTATTAGGTACAGGGTTTTTATTTTAGTGAGAAGTTAACATAGGAAAATCTTCCTTGTGAGTATATGTATTTCTTTCTGAAGTCTCTCAAAGAAAATAACTGGAACTTCTTAATTTTAGCCTCTCGAAACTAATAGAGTAAAAAAGTAGTATGAGAGGTCCCTTGAGAAAAGCTACACCACATGGCTATGTGCCCAAAGCAAACTAGAAAATACCTCTAACTAATGATGTCCCTTTAAAGTGCCATTTTTATCTACTAATCTACAATTTACAAACATCATTGGTTTTATTGACTAACATACAAACTCCTGAAATATAGATGCTTCTAATGTCACGACTTGTGAGAAACTAATAAGGTTTAATTTAGGGACTAAACTTGACATATTCTTTTCACTGTAATTCTACATATAATGCTCTTTTCTGCTTTTCTTTTACCTTTAATAACTTTTTAAAAAATAAATAAAAAACCAACCCTCCCATCCCTCTCCAAAACTAAGAAAAACCACCCATTTACTTTGAACAAGATAGCACAGTTTTGAAATATGAAATAGATATATTACCTGTAATCAGGGATAAGTCTGAGACTCCTGGTCAGGTGAGCTTCCACTGTTGCTTTCTCAGTGTTCAAGATCCTCCTCAGTAAGTCAAACCTTTTAACTCTGTACAGCAGCTCAGACAAGCCAACAGGAGACAGTTTCTCCCTCTCATTCAAAGCTGCCAAGATCTCTCTAAGATCAGCAGTGGCCAAGTCAGGAGCAAGGTCTCTGCACAGGAAAACCATCATCTCTTCTTCTTCTTTATCCAGTTCTTCTTGAATCTGGTGAATAAGGGCAGCTGGCACTTGGCACGCAGTCATCACTCTGTTGCTGTGCCTACTGGTTATAAACAGGAAACCAACGTGACATGAAGCCCATGTCTATGGCAGCACTTCTCTGGTGTTCATTCTTAACTAGGTGCATTTTTACAAAAGCAGTTCTGTGGGAGAGAATTAGAAGTCAGTAAATCAGGGATCTGCTGCACAAGTTCACAGTTAACTCTCCTAACTGAAGTATTTTGCTTTCGACTAAAACTCCAACTTACTTTTCACAGACCTCCTGTGTTCGAGGGACTCTCCCAGCTATTCATTATAGAACTAAAGGTACTTGGTAGATCATACTAATCAGAAAGACATGTGAGTTCTTTTTAAAGTGAATTACATTAACACTAATCTGTAAATTCCATAGGAAGTGAAACAAAAGTCATCAGCTTCCTGATGAGTGGGTACTTCAAGTATTTCTGAAAGCTCTGACTTCTTCCCAGCAACCCTCCACCCCTCTGCTCATCAACACCTTTTCTCCCCTCAAAGTCTCAAGGCATTTTTCAGGAAGCTAAAAGGTAGTGCAATCATATATAGTAGATGAAAGAACGGAAAAAAACCCCCACATATAAAACCACTGCTATCAAGCATGCACTTTGTCTTGAATGAAGTAAAAATTAAAGAAATATTCACAAGATAACATGTAATATTTTAAAATGCTAATTAGCTGTAAATACAGGAGTATGTGGATTTTCTTACTTATTGGCATAATTTAAAGTGATTCCAATCTGAATGAATTATTCGGATTTTAAGGATTCTCCATACACACCCTTCATGCTCAAAAAGGTTGAAGAACCGCTCAAAGAAAAAATTCCAACCTTCAATATGCAAATTGGTTAACTCTGAAGGTATAGATAAGCCACAGACTGCCTTTTTCTTCATGTAACATTCACGTGTCACCATACTGAAAACTGAAATAAAAACTCCACCTTAGAAAAACCCCCAGCCTTGTGATTAACAAAATCAATAGGGTGCTATGTTCAATTTCCACTGCCACCAACTCTGGAAATTCTATCTAGTCTCCTCTGATCTCCATTACATACATGGAGAAAGGTGAGATGAGCAATCTGAAGACAAATCTTAGTCCTTAAAAGGAGTTTGATGACTAAACTGCGTAGTTTTTTTTACACTGTACTGGAAAGCAAAAGCTAACACAACTTCAAAGCCTAACACACTGAAGATTCTAGCACCTGAGGAAGATTTTTTTAAAGCATTTTCAGCCTTTTGTTACACCTTCTGGAAGTTACAAGCAACAATGTCATACACTGTGTTCATAAATGAAGCAGACGAGATAAACTCATCTACAAGCCTTCCCCGCCCCCCAAGTGCTGTTTAAATGAAAAATAACTCTACAGATCTACTTGACTTTCCTAAGAAAGGAAGTAAGAAACAGATTTGGTTAAACCCATGGACTGGGTGTCACTGCCCACTAAAGGAGTGTATCAGAGGATAAGCAGAGGAACTCCTCTTACACTCTAATGTGTTTTGGAGAATGTTCTATCAGAGAAAAAGCATATTAATTGCTAACTTATTTTCAATCTAGCATCAAACATTGATGAGAATTCTACAGAAAGACACAGACTGTTTTCATGCCATAATGCAGTCAAGAAAGGGGAGACAGAAAACACTTTCATATGAAAGTATCTCCCAGATACATAGAGCTGGGACTTTCAAAAGGACTTGAGGAAATTTTATTTATGACTCACTCTAAAGCAAACAGGAATTTAACAACTTTTGGCCATTTTCAGAAATCTCAAAAAAACTTTTTAACTATTCCAGTTGATTTTTATCTAGTCTTTTAAAACTAGTTAAAAAAAGAGGGAGAGAGTGTGAGTGTGTGTGCGTTAGGGAGTAATTTCCTACAGAGTTGAGATTTCAGACATGCAAAATTACCAACTATATGTTACTTTAAAAATAATCTGCCTTTAAGGTACACATATAAATAACTTACTTTTGTGAACTTCCTTTATATAAGCTAAATCACATGCTCATTATAAAAAAATGCTGATCATACTTCTAGTGCTGAAACTGTCTTACCTGTACGCAAGTCTGTCCACAAAAACATTGGAAGAGTGGCGTTTGACCATTGCCAAATCACTGATCCAGATCCAGCACACATTGGTTTCTACCCACTATTTTCCACTGATGGTCCATATACAGTTTATTACATCAACTCTGTTGGACAAGTATCAAGACCAAAAATTATTGTGGGGGGCCTACTTCCTAATTTTATGGAAGGGGGGGAAACAAAAGAAAAATGACGTGGGATCATGTGTTCTTCTGTATGATTCCACTGGACCAGGAATGATGCTCTAAATAAAAGAAAAAACAACTGTGCACACTCAGTGATCGCCAGTAACATTCACTGGATACTGTGTGCCGAATGAGTAAGCGCAACATGAAGTAAGTTTTTAGTATAAACTAAACCAGTTTATAACTTTGCAACCAAGCACCATGTGCCCATATTTTGACAGCAGATATGTCACAAGACTGGGGCAAGCCCAATGCATTCCATGTGCTTTTATCTAAGCCAGATCCACTTCACTCGAGGAGATGAAGGGGCCATCTGGTGAATTTTTCAAACATCACAGATACAGTTATCATAGCTGCAATAATTAACGAAAAAGTGAAAAGCAATGGCAACATAAAACCGAGCAGGCTGGCTTTTTATTTAGATTACCCGGGCCCTGCAACAGGACCTACATCGAATGTAGATTCTCTACAAAGAGGAGAAAAAAACCAATTTATCTTCTAAGACAAAATAAAAAAGTTCATACTCAGAGATAAAACTGCCCAAATAATTTGTGTGTTCACGTGCATGTGCAATCAAGGATTTTTTTTTCCCCCTTGCAAGGAGCAGGAAATAACATCGTACTAAAACCTCACACACAAAGACGCACAAGGGTCCAGTTAACTCCCCGCTGGCCATTTTGTATCTCGAACGTTTCACAGTCATCTTCCCGCCAACAAAACCAGGATATAACCCCAGCGGGTGCGGCTGATGCGGAAAACGATCCTTGTTTCCCAAGATGAGTTCATGTGGAACACCCCAGGCTGGCAGGAGAGTAGGAGGTGAGCTGGCGGCGAACGGCGCCGGGGGCGCTTTGTGCCTCCTCCGCTCTGCTCTGTTTGAACAGGCGGGGCGGCGGCAGAAGGGCTGCGCTCCGACCGCTGCCATCCGGCATTTTTCAAAGTTGCAGAGCGTGCTCCGCAGCTTTCCCACTTCCCTATTTCCTCATCGCCCTGTGCCCTCTAACAGAAGGACTTGTGCGAGGTACTCGGGAAAAACAGGGAATTCCCTCGGGAACTTTCGCATTCCTTATTATTCTATTAGGCTTAAACAGTTTTCTCACAGTGTAAACTAGTAGTGCCCGCACTAATTTTTTAGATGTGCGCTACTTTTAACGCCCCAGTCCTCCTAACAACACCCGCCACCCCAGCAACACACACAGAAAACAACAACTAGACGTGGTTTATGCAGTTTTCCACTCAAATTTCTAACTACGTCATTTTAGACCGCGTTCGGTTTCGGTTTTCCCCGTGAGCCAAGGCCAAGCTCAGGCCTCCCTTGCGCCGGACGCTCCGGCCACAGCCCGC